CACCGGCAGCCGGCCTGACTAAATGTGCTATCATCTCCTTCTGCTTGCTTCTCAACAAGGTATCAGTCACTCCTCCGATGGCTTTTGACCTTGGCAGTGATAAGGACACCTTTGACACATCGGCCTTAACACAACAGTCGTCTGGCTATGTGACCAGAGGAGACTGAAGGGAAAGTGCCCTGGGTGGTCTCAGCAGCAGGGAGGGGGGTTCTCCAGCTGTGAGGACAGGTACACCAGGTCACCAGCACCTCTCCTGCCTGACTTCTCCTAGGAACCCTGAGCTCTGCCCATTGGCATCTCTTCCCAGAAGCCCCTCCTGATTGGCTCCAATCTGCAGATGCTCTCCATCCTCAGCGAGCTACAGTTCTTACTCTCTGTTCTAGAGCTGACTTTGTCCGTCGCCTTTCCCTAACGTGAACACTCGCACCCAAAGGGGCGGTCTCCTCACCGTCTAGGCCCAAGTCAGTCTCAGGGGTCCTGATCCCCCTGAGGGTGAACTGGAGTTCTCTCCGAGGCCCCCTGGTAGCTGGCTGCATTCTCACCAGGCAAAGCATCTGGGCTGTTTCTATGGACCCTGTTTCAGGGGCCAGGTGAGTGATGGAGAAGAGAAAACAACTGAAGGCAGACTGAGGAGCGGGAGCCCACATTTAACTTGCGAATGGGCCTTCCTCTCCGGCTGAGGTGAGCAGTCATCAAAGACCGACAGGATCTGACTTGAAACTTTGACTTCACCTCCCATTCCCGGAGTAATGTCGACTTACCTCTTCTCTCACCATTGAGCAACTGGAGGCCCAAGGCAGAGTGCCCAAGGGGACATCACTGTCAAGACAGGAGGCAACTCCTAAGGGGCCCTGGTGTTTCCTCTCTCCTCATCTCTTCCACCTGGTCTCCGGGCCCTCTTGCCCATCTTGGAATGTCATGTGGAAGGTAGTTGGCTCACTCTGAGGTGAACTACCTTCTTGGCCTGCAGCTGCTGGCTCAGTCATCCCCACATTTGGGAACCTTAATAGTGCTGTGGCCATGGGAAGGCCATGTGGGAACCTAGCCCTCTAAGGCCTCCGTCACCATGAGTCCTACGTTACCTTCCTCATACCTTCCAGTCCCAAGGACTGACCCGCGGGCAGAGTCCTTACCTGAGCAAGGCACTGTGAGGTAAGCAGAGACAGGACAAGAGGCCGTGGGAGAGAATTCGCATGGGTGCAGACTAAGGCTTGGATGATGGGTGACTTGGGCAATTAATCATGTCCCTTTACTCAGCTCTTTGTCTCATGAAAAAAAAAAAAGACCTCAATACCCTACTCATGGAGTTGTAAGGAACATTAAAACAACGTATTTAAGCTTCAGAACAATGTTGAAACACAGTGAGCTTGCAATAAATGGCTACGTTATCCCCGACATTCCGTGTCAGTCATTTCTCCAACACCTTAATTATTTACAGGTTTCTGGAAACGTGAGCTAGACTTTACGAGATCTTCAGAGTCACTGTCATTTTTCCACTTCCAATCGCGAGTGGAATTCACCTGTCCTTACTGCTGCGGGTCAGTCAGCTATGTGGTATGCCTGTTATCGTGGTTGGCAAACCTGTCCCACAGGGTCTAGCCACTCTCAAGCCTCTGTGTTCTACGACCAGTTGTTGGAACCCACTGTGGTCAGTTGTGCCTGGCATTGTGAAATACAGTTTTACTTGCTGTCCACCAGCCACCTGCTGGGGGACATTGACACACTAACAGACACAGAACACGCACTGGAGCTTTCTTGTTAGCTATGACTCTAGCTCTAACTGTGGTGGCGATTCTAAGCTGTGCTGGGAAATACAGAAGCAAGGGTATAGCTGGATCATGGAGCATGGACTTTGGGGCATGCCTTATGTACCACAGAACCCAGAGCAATTTCCTGTTAACAGCCACACACACAGTTTGGTCAGGAGCACGTGACCAAGACATTCCTCAGCCCCTCTTGCGCTTCTACATCTCGGGAGGTAGGAGACTGTCTTACAGCTACAACTGCTTGCCTCTGCTGGTGAGCTCTGAGGAAGCCAGGCCCTCAGGCAGGGTCTCACCAGGCTTCACCACCCTCTGCTGTCCTGTCAGCTGACTGCCACGTGAGTACAGGTCCCGCCAGAGGCACTCTCTTACACCACCAGCCTGCATGGTCTGCAGCCATGAAAATGAAATGAAAGAGGGTGACAGTCCATTAGCAGTGGGCACAAAGGAGAACAACTATCAGCCCACCTCCCTTCGAGGGCCATGGAGGGTGAGGTCGACTGCACGGACATGTGTCTGGGTGTGTGTCTGTATGTAATTTTTGAAAAGTAAACAAACCAGGAAGAGGGTATGGGTCATCACCAGTGTGATGACACTAAGAAGCTGAAACGTCAATGTGTTTCTTGTACCCTCTGTCCCCAACCCTCATGGGCAGGTCCGCAGAACAACTCTCTATCAGAACAGCTGTCTATCAGGGTTAGAAGGCCCCGGTTGTCTCAACCAGCTTCTTTGTGCTGTGACTCTTTGCTTCAGCGTTCATGCCAAGGAACCAGCTTTTCTCTTCAGTTACAGAAAACTTGCCACTCACTGGGGTGGTCTGAACACTCCAGCCGCTGATTCCACTCACGGCTAGAGAGGTTCCTTTAACACCAGAGCTGTTACAAAGGACCCTATGTGACTCCTACCTGCATGTCCTGGTTTTGCTCTTTGAATACCACACGCCTGGCTCAATCCCTCTTTCCCCATACACAACTCTTTTGGGTCTCCTTTCCAGGCCAATGTGGTCTTGTGTGCCCTCGTCCTTCTTCCAAATGCTTCTTGGTTAAGACCTAGTTTGTTAAGAATGCCTTAAAATATGCTTCCCATACTGAGAATCTGTAACGTCTGCTACAGCTGTCACCCATGCAATACACCAATGCTCGTGCACACACACCACACGCACACACTCGCAGACGCACGCGCGCATACCACACGCAAGCACACACACACACCTAGAAATGTAGTTGGCTCCAACTCTATCTCCATTCATCCTGCATCCCATGATGCCAATCTAAGTGCACATACATCTCCATGATATGCTCCTAATCTGTCTCCACTCTGAGTCTCTCCAAGGCAAACAAGATGTCCAGGTTCAAGTCCAGCCCATGAAAAACGGCCAGGGCTTCTGCCTCCTTGTTCTGGACTGTAATCTCCTTTCTGTTTATCTCCTGTAGCAGTCACCTTCACCAAGGTCATCACTGTCTTAGTCTGAGGTTAAGGCCAGGTTCCAGTGTGGGTGTGGTTATGAATACAGCATATGGTGGGTTCATGATTCTTTCCCCTCCAGGGCAGACCGGCCCTGAGCTTCCGAGGTCTTCTAGGTGGGACACTGTGCAAGGATTCAGCAAACCTATGGAAGGAGGGCAGGTTTGAGCAGCAGAGGTGAACAGGGAGACCACAGAAAGGATAGTTCACAGAGCCCCAGGTAAAAATTGGGGATGGGGTAGCAGGAACCAGCATCCCCGACAGGCCCATGGTACCTGCCAGCAGGAGCATCCTGAACCTTTCAAGGTTCTGGGTGAATTCCAGACCTGAACCCCAGCACCAGGTAGCAGAGAGGCAACCTTACAGCTGGTGAATGGAAGGACTGAAGGCCTTGCTAAAATCCTCGACTTCTGCCCCCCATTCCCATCCCCACCCCCAGAGACTGAGGAGTCCCCAGTGACCAACCCTACAGGCAGGGGAAGATCCTGAGGTGCCTGGAGTTGGATTCCCTGCTACTCACTGGGAGGGCAGAATAAATCACTCGCCAGTATCTGAGAGAAAGACCTGAGTGTCTCGCTCTGCATTGACTCCTGCTCGCCTTCTCTCTTGACCTGTGAAAGCAGCTCCCTAACATCCTAATTATCAGTCCTTCTAGAAGCTCCTCCTCCCGGGTTCCCCAAAGCTTCAATTTGGGCTGCCTTATTCCAGTTGTTAATAACAGGTGTTCTGAGTCTTGCTAGGCAGAGGGCAGAGGGCAGAGGGCAGGGCTTGTTTGAACGTGCCACCGCCGAGGCTGCCTTCCCTGCCGCTGCCGACATGCTGATCCGTCAGCTCTCTCCCGAGTAGCGTTCAGCCTCGGGAATTTATCTAAGTGCGGTGATATCCATTCCACATATCTCTGCCTCGTTCATAAGGATATACTGTCAAATGCCTAGCCAAAACGTAAACACTCTCCATCTACTACATGTCCCTAATCCATCAGCACGGTGACCTAGCAGAAGAAAACTGTGAATGGGGGAGGATAGAGGAAATGAGGTTACTGTGGGCTGGCCGGCTGCCTCTCAATGGCCCCTGACACCTTTCCTAATGGCCTCTATCCTATTTGGGGTTACCAATGCTGTGCTGAAGCACCATGACCAAAGCAACTTAGTGAGGAAAGGATTTCCTTGACTTCCACTTTCTCGCTGCTCGTCATCACTAGAAAACAGAGCAGGAACTAACAGGGCTGGAACCTGGAGGCGGGAGCTATGCAGAGGCCGTGGAGGGCTGCTGCTTATTGGCTTGCTCCTTGTGGCTTTTTCAGACTGCTTTCGTATGGAACCCAGGACCGCCAGCCCAGGGGTGGAAGCACCCACAATGAACTGGGCCCTTCCATATCGATCACTAACTTTAAAAACTGCCCTAGAGGCTTGTCTACAGCCCAGTCCTATGGAGGTATTTTCTCAACTTGAGGCTCCCTCAGTGAGTCAAGGTCATGTCAAGTTGTCACAAAACCATCAACCCTGGCAGAACAGTTCCCAAATTCCTCACTGGTAATGAGGTGACCCTCTACTGTACAGCACTGTCCCAAAGTCCAGGAATGAGTTTTTCTTTTGGAGACAAGGTCTCACTGTGTATCTCTAGCTGGCCTCACACTCCCAGAGATCCACCAGCCTGACTCCCAAGTGCTGGAAATTCAAATCCTGCACTACCATGCCTGGCATTCCCAGAAGCCTCTGCACATTTCCAGTAAGAGAAACAGGTGGAAAGCAAAGACACACAAAGCTACTGACATAGGTTTTCTCTTTTAATTTTAATTAACAAATCTACAGGAAACCTTCATTGAATCAGGAGACATAATACAAATTATGGTGGTCTGCATACAAAATGTGGCACCAAATATGGCGTCTGGGGATATAAAAATAGGCATTTAAAATCTGCACCAGAGCTTGGTGTAGCAGCTGACACAGTTCTGATGAGGGCAGCCACGTGTCAGGCCTGGCTTATGGACAGTGAGAATCATTGGTCCTCCAGGCTCTGGGTGACAATGGTCAGCCCCAAGCAGGGGTCATAGGCAGGACACTCAAAAGCACCAGATGCCACAAACCCAGCATGCTGGGGAGAACAGGAAAGAACACTCCTTCCCTAGGTTTCTCACCCTGATCCAAGCCCAGGGACCCCAGCTCTCTGGTAGACAAACCACTCTGACTATAGAGGAACTCTGGGCAATGTTTAAATATGTTTCCCCAAAGAAGTGACCCAGTGTTGACTCAAGGTGGTTTTCTGCAGGCTGAGAGCCTCAGCATCCTCTAGTACAGCTGATCAGAGTAAAGCACACTGGAGATGGTATGGTAGCTCCATGCAAGATGTTATACTCAGCGAGTATACAGAAGAGAGTGAGACACCTTTGGTCCTTTGGATGCAACCTCGCTGAAGCCATACTCTGAACAAGGCAACAGAGCACAGAGAGTTGAAGGACCATGTTCATAGTTCTTTCACTGGCATGGCCTCTAGTTCTGGCTGAGTGGAGGCAGGACTGTCGTCCACTGGCTCGTACATTCAGGAGGCCCCCTGCTTTGCCCATCTTGTGGCTCTGTGGATGGGGGTAAGTGTCCCTGACTCATGTGTTACTGTTGCCCAGTCTGGACACTGGGAAACAGATGGAGGGACAGAAATGCTTGGATAGGCAAGAGGAATACCAGGGGAGGCAGCTGGGAGGAGACACGCCCTGTGGGCTCTAAATGCCCATCCCACTACCACTTCAGGTCCCAACAATTACTGCCATCCTAGTGGAGTCTACAGAGGGAAGCAGCGCCCTCACTCCCCACCCCCACCCCCGGCCATGCCATGTTTTACTGAAAGCGGAGTGCTTTTCTCAGCCGCCCCAGGCTTAACTGTCTTGCTGCAGGGTGATCTGACACTTCCCTCCACAGTGACGAGAGTGAAAGGAGACATGAAGGACAGAAACATCTGAACCACCAAGCACACAAAAGCAGGTGCACATGCTGCTGCTGAGGGCCCTTCGCTAGCAGGCAGCACATCCCGGGGACAGGTGCTCTGTGCAAATGGGACCTGGCACCAATTAGTACCATTTCCTACGTGCCAGGTAACAGGGCAGGACCATGCCTAGTCACTGTGGCTCCTTCACAAATTGTCAGGGCATTCATTCTGTCTAGAACAAGGGGGGAAAAGGACCTTCCTTCCTAAAGTGGCCTGACAACACCCTCTAGTGGAGATCATAAATAACACAGGACGGCGTGTCCAATTCCTCCTCACACGCTAGAGTGGTTTCAGGGTTCCCCGTAACATGGGACACAAAGCACAAGCAGATTATCTTTAGAAAGATAATCCCAACACACAAGGGCTGGAGTTCGCAGCCTGTGCTGTGCACCCGCCAGGCCAGTGGCACTCCTCAGTCTCTGTGCTGTGGTGGGAACTGCTGGTCTCCTCAGAGTCTGGGCAGGCTGCCTGCTGGTGCTAGGATGATGCCAAAGACATAGAAAAGCCCCAGCAGGAGGTTGAGCTTGGCAGTCCTCTGGGGCAGCTTGTTGAATGCCTGGCTGCGGAACTGCCTCTCGAGGGAGAAGGCCATGGGGATGGTGAGGAGGGGCAGCGCCAGGCTGATGCTGCAGTGCGTGGCCAGGATGGTGAAGATTAGGTAGGGCAGAAAGAGCAGCGTGTTGTAGAGGACATAGGAGAAGGTGGGCCCAATGAGGATGGCCAGTGTGACAATGCCAGCCTCCCGGTCAGATTCCATGTCCCTGGTGTTGTTGGAATGGAGAATGGCCTCCGTGCTGAGGGCCAGAGGGATGGCGTAGACTAGAGGGAAGATGGCCAAGGATCCCACCTGGACAGCGTAGGCAAACATCACAGCCAGCGGGCCGAAAGTGATGAGGATGACGAGGTCTCCCAGTGCCACATACTTGAATCCAATTCCTGCGGCCAGAAAAGCCAGAGAGGTGCAGTGAATCAAGGGCTGGACACTGAGGGGCTATCCAAGAGAATTATCATGTCTGACGAGAGGCTACGAGGGTGAGCAGTCACTGGAGCACCCCAAACAACCCAATATAAACTCAGATTTCTAAGTTCAACTGCCAGGTACCAAGTTTGCCTTTTATAATTTGTCCCAAAAAACAGGTTCTGCAACAAAGCGCCCAGAGCTCTGGGTGCACAGAGATGACAGGAGCCAAGAACATGCAAAAGGGTTTTATGGTCCAGTGCACTGATTTCTTCTGCCCTTCTCCAGCTCTGCAAGGCAAAATGTACAGCTTGCCTCCTCCCCTGGCCCTGGCCCCTGAGTCTTTTTTTCTGGTTTGAAAGACCAGAGTAGCTGGGCAGTGGTGGCGCACACTTTTAATCCCAGCACTTGGGAGGCAGAGGCAGGTGGATTTCTGAGTTCGAGGCCAGCCTTGTCTACAGAGTGAGTTCCAGGACAGCAAGGGCTACACAGAGAAACCCTGTCTCAAAAAACCAAAAGAAAGAAAGAAAGAAAGAAAGAAAGAAAGAAAGAAAGAAAGAAAGAAAGAAAGAAAGAAAGAAAGAAAGAGAGAGAAAGAAACAAAGGGAGAGAGGGAGGGAGGGGAAAGGGGGGAGGGAGGGAGGGAAAGAAAGACAGACCCCAGTGAAACCCCATGGCATTTTACAGCCTATAACTTCCATGGAAAGAAACTGTCAGCCATGTAAAGAGGAAAACAGTGCAAGTATCACACAGTGTGCCCTGTGGTTCTTGGTTCTCATCAGTCAAAACCAAATCACCCCTAGCGACCACCATGCTCCAAAGCCTGCCTAGTCTGCCCTTTAGCACCCTCCCTCCAGTCCCAGAACCGTACCACATTCCAATGCAGTCCAAATCAGGGTCATCTTACTGTGGCATATGGCCACGCCTTCCTGGTGCCTTTTGATCTTGTAAGAACCTCTCACCCTATCCCAGCGTCTTTAAAACTCCGGGTTTGCCCTTTCTCCCAAAACACACTCAAATTGTGAACAACCCTGTGTCTTTGGAATCAAAGTCTCAGTATCTGGCTTGTCACAACTAGCTCCCCAGTACTTGACACTGGGGCTGAACTGAACACAGAGCCACAGTAACAAATGCTTCTAACTCAAAAATACTTCCCACTCAGACTGGGACAAGTAAAGCCATGGACAACGGTGGGAGCTGGACAACGAGATGGCCTTGGTTCCTACAGAAACCTGTGAAGTCTTTAAATCTAATGAAGTTATAACACATGGCCTCAGGATATCCGATCACATTTTAAGCAGTCTAAAATGACAGGTGACAATGCTCTGCAGGGGATCTAAAACCACAGGAACCAAGGACCAAAGTCTGGCCAACCTCACCTTCCCAGAAGCAGTGTGGGTCTGCTTGTGCCAAATGAGAGCCCCTGGTTTGTTACTTGAATGCAGCATCCCCACACGACACCACAGGCATGACTCCTCAGCTCCCCAGCACCAGGAAGCACCCTGCACCGGGGAGCTCATGGCCCCTGCACACTGCAGGTATTCAGGAAGCCTCTCCCAGGCCAGGCTAGCATGATGCCCCTCTCTGCTCATGCATATTCACCGACCTACACACAGTAACAGGGCTCTGGATGGGAAAGAATTAACCTGTGGCTGCATGCTCCAGAGATCCAGCCCTCAGTTCAGCAGCCAAAGAATGACACGGAGCCTCAGCCGTGAGCATGCTCACTGATTCCTTTGTCTCTGCTTTACTGCACACTGGCCAAAGCTTAAGCATGTTTCCCAGACACTGCAGGCTCTTCCAGTCCTTGTCTGTCTGACACTGCAGGCTCTCCCAGTCCTTGTCTGTCAGACACTGCAGGCTCTTCCAGTCCTTGTATGTCAGACACTGCAGGCTCTTCCAGTCCTTGTCTGTTTGACACTGCAGGCTCTTCCAGTCCTTGTATGTCAGACACTGCAGGCTCTTCCAGTCCTTGTCAGACACTGTAGGCTCTTCCAGTCCTTGTCTGTCTGACACTGCAGGCTCTTCCAGTCCTTGTCAGACACTGCAGGCTCTTCCAGTCCTTGTCTGGAGCCCTCACTTTCTACCACATGGCTATTCCTACTTGTATTTCAAAAAGTCTCCCTCTCTCTCTCTCTCTCTCTCTCTCTCTCTCTCTCTCTCTCTCTCTCTCTCTCTCCCTCCCTCCCTCCCTCCCTCCCTTCCTCCCTCTCTCCCTCCCTCCTCCATCTCCCTCCTCCTAGCAGCAGCTAGATTTACAGCTTGCTTCTCCTCTTATCTTTCTCTGACTAATGTGTCACTTGAACTCAAACACAGCACAACACACCAGAAACCTGTGTTCTGACCTTAAGTAGGTCCCCCACTCAAGCCAAGCACAAACCCACCTGAGGAGTGAGAAAGGTCTGATAACCTTGAGTTTATCTGAGGCAATAAAGTGACTAAGCCTTTGGAAAGAGCACTTTCTCAGTGTGGGAGACATGACCCGAGACCGAAGGCGCCTCCTGACCCAGAGATGTGACCCTTGTGGGAGTCTGTTTTTAAGTGTCCCACCCTTTGCAACAGCTCGTTCTGAAGGAGATAGCACAGGGAAACACTGGGCCCGTTTTCCACACAGCAGCCAGAATTAATCTGTTAAACCTACGTCAAAGAGTGGGCAAGGGTCAAGTGTAGCAGTGTCTGCAACACTAGCACTTGACAGACAGAGGCAGGAGGATGACGAGGTTCTGGCCAGCCTGGCCACACACAGAGGCTAACTCCTGGAGGGAGCTGGCGAATGTGCAGAGCCTCTGCAAGCCTCTCACGCCTGTGGGAATATGGGCAGTGCAAGTACTTCTCAAGGGGCTGGCAGCTTTTTGTAGAATTAAACGTCACCCAGCGGAGATCACAACAGTTCCATTTCCAGGCATTTACTCAAGAGAAATGAAAACAAATACTCATAGAAAGACTTGAACATGAATTTCAGTCACAATAGAAAAAAACACAGATACAACCCAAAGGTCCCTGAACAGGTGAGCAGAACAAAAGTGTGACATGTCCCTCAATAGACGCTATTCAACAATAAAAATCAGCTCCTGACATGCAAGACAACACAGTGAGCTTCAAAGCCATCAACCAGGCAAAAGAAAGTAGACTCAAGAACTTACACAGAGGCCTGGAATGATAGCCCACACCTCTAATCCCAGCCTTTAAGAGGCAGAGGCTGGTGGATCTCTATGAGTTCAAGGCTAGCCTGGTCTACATAGTGAATTCCAGGCTAGCCAGGGCCATATAGAGAGACCTTGTCTCAAAAAACAAGCAAACAAACCAGAGTTGATATTGCAATAAACAAAGCACAGGAAGAGTTCCCTCTACATGGCACTCTAGACCACACAGAACTGGCCCAAGGGAAAAAAACGAGAAGAGCAGTTACCTGTGCATAGATGAGGGTAGAGTTCGGGGTGGTGGGAAAATCTGGAGAACGCTCTGGGGGATAATGGAAAAGCAAGGACTACACAGCTGCTTACATTTGCCAAGTTCACCAAAGCAGACACTTCACTGCACGTCGATTACATACCAGTAGAAGCCAGTGTGGAAAGAAAATCTATGGAGACTGGAGAGATGGCTCAGCAGTTTGTTCTTTCAAAGGTCTTAAGTTCAATTCCCAGCAATCACACAGTGGCTCACAACAATTGTGTAACGGGATCTGATGCTCTCTTCCGGCATGCTAGCATACATGCAACTAGAGCACTGAAGAACACTGATGTGTATGTGTGTGTGTGTAATACATAAATAAATAAGTCTAAAAGAAAAGAAAAAAAATCTATGTGGCTGGAGAGATGTCTCAGCGGTTAGGATCACACTGGTTGGTCTTCTAGAGGACCAGGTTCAATTCCCAGCGCCCACAGGGCAGCTTACAACAGCCTATAACTCTACTTCCTGGGGGAACCAATGCTCTTCTGACTCTAGGAACCTGCATGTACCTAGTGTACATACATACATGCAGGCAAAACACATGTGCATAGAGTAAAAATAAATCTTAAAAAAAGAAAGATAAAGTGTGTAGTAGTAGTTGTGCACATCTTTAATCCCAGCTTTAATCCCAGTGCTTGGAAGGCAAGTGCAGGCAGATCTCTGAGTTCAAGGCCAGCCTGGTCTATAGAGCAAGTCCCAGGACAGCCAGGACTACAGAGAAACCCTGTCTTGAAAAACCAAAGGCGGGGGGGCAGTTTATGCTCAACAGATGTCAATCTTAACTGCTCACTGCACACTACATGAGTATTTCTGTGTGTGGCATGTGTTGTTTATGTATACAGATATGCTCACTCATGCATGTGCTTCTGTCTTTCTCTCTGACACTCCACCTTTATTGTTTGTTTTTTTTACTTTTTTGAGATGGGGTTAGGTGTCACTTGTAAACCCAGGCTGCCTCTGCTTCCTGTGCTGGAATCATAGACGTGGAGCATAAAATTAACTGTAACTTTAGATAAGTAGAAAGCAAGGCCTCCCAGAGAAGGCGGCATAGGTGAAGGAGGCCAGAGGAAGACACAGAGACGAGGAAGAGCATTCCAAACAGAGAGACTGGCACCCGTCAAGTGCATGCCTTGATAGCCCAGGTGCAAGAGAAAAGATGAGGGCACGTCAGACCGGGAAGGGCAGAGGTAAACACACAATGCAGGCTCCTGGGTATCCTATTACGACTTGGTTTTACTCTGGATGAGGTGGGAGCCACTGAAGAGTGTTAAACAGGACTGTCCACTGCCTCCCTCACACTAACAGGCTAACTGTGACAGATGGCTGGACAGCAGCCTGAAAGGGAGTCGGGCAGATGCAACGAGAACATGAGGAGCTTCCGCAATGCTGTAGGAGAGGATCACGGTGGAGGCAGGACACGGGAAAAATAGTCAGAGCTTAAACGGAGTTTTAACAGAAACACAATGTGCTGACGTGCTAGGCACCAGGTAAGAAGAGACCAGTCAGGCATAGTGGTACAATCCATTAGTCCAGCACTTTAAAGGCAGAGGCAATCAGATCTCTGTAAGTTCAAGACCATCCTGGTTTGCAAAGCAAGTTCCAGGACAGCCATGGCTACAAATCTTGTCTCAAAACAAAACAAACAAAACAACCGCCCACCTCCCCCAAATTAGTATGGATACTCATGGCCTGAAAAGCTAGAGGGATGGAATTATCAGTGGGCTAGGGATGCAGCTCAGTGGTGGAGTGCCTGCCTAGCATGTGAGGAGACCTGTGCGCACACACATATACATATACACACGCACATACATACACATATACACATGTACACACATGCACATACATACACGCACACACATACACACACGTGCACATACACACACGCACACATATGCACATACATACACATGCACACTCATACACACATGCACACACGTGCACATACATACATACACACATATGCACACACATATATACACACATGCACACACACACACGCATACACACTGCCTAGCATGTGAGGGGACTTGTACGTACACACACACACACACTGCTTAGCATGTGAGGGAACCTGTACACACACACACACTGCCTAGCATGTGAGGGGACCTGTACACACACACACTGCCTAGTATGTGAGGGGACCTATACACATACACACACACTGCTTAGCATGTGAGGGGACCTGCACACACACACACACACACACACACACACACACACACACAGAGGAGGAAACTAATGCCACTGAGTAAAACAACAAGATCTGCAGATAATGCAGGGGTATCTTTGAAGCAATAACCAGGAATTTGACTTCACACACATGCACATACACACACACTGAGATCTGGATGAGCAGGGGTGTGGTTCACAGGTAAGGCACACACTTGCTATGCTGTACCTGAGGAGAGAGAGCTGGGAGCCATCCAGTCCCCAGCATCTAACCCCAAAAGACGTAGGCTGTGAGCCTGGAGTTTATAACAAGTGAGATTGGCTATAATCACCAAAGGAGCCACGGGAGAGAAAGGAGACCAAAGGACTAAGCTCTGGAGGATGAGGAGCAGGGAGAGGCTGACAGATGGTAAAGGATGACCAGACTGTTCTGGTTGTAGCCTCTGCTGTTCCTCCATCTGAGCCACACTGTCCCCATGGACCACAGCAGACCCAACCTTTGCACTTGCTGTCCCTCCACCTGAGCCATACTGTCCCCATGGACCACAGAGGACCCAACCTTTGCACTTGCTGTCCCTCCACCTGAGCCA